AAAGAAAGAAAAAAAGAAAGAGTGAGACAGAGATGAAAGAAAAAAGGAAAAAGGGACAGAGAGACAAAAGGAAGGAGAGAGAGAGAGAGAGAGAAAACACATGGCTGGCAAGCCACTCCCACCAGGTCACATGGCCAGCAAGCCACTCCCAAAAAGGAGGCCACACCCACAGAGTAGGTTCCAAAAAATTTTGAAACCCACCACTGCAGACTAGCCACCATCCAATACACGGTCTTCTCTCCAAATACTAAACTCATACAGTAACAGTCAGGAACACTCAGGAACAATCAGTATCAGGGGACTCCGTAATATTCCTTCCTCCTTTTATGGCTGCTTAAAGCAATTAGCATCCAAATACATCTTTCTAGCATTTGAAGTATCAGATATATTTGTTGCAATCATGGCTTATGCTCATATATATACATTGCCAAGCCAAGACTAGGGTTACATCCCTAACACTAGGGATTCGAACCGCTGAACTGCCGACCTTTCTGATTGACAAGCTCAGCGTCTTAGTCACTGAGCCACCCTACAGTATTTGCTGTCAAAAGTCTGCAAGGCAACATACATTTCACAATTTTATTGCTGTAGTGGAATATTGTCAGATTCCGCAAGAAAAGGCACTTTTGACATGCACTTCAGTGTAGTGAAAGGAGACTGGACCAAGAGAAACCCAGCTTCTTATCATCAAGAAGGAACATCTGCATTCTCAGGGCATTTGAGGATAGGAGTTGGGGGTTTAATTTTTCAACCTTGGCAATTCTAAGATAAGTGGACTTCAAGTCTCAGAATTCCCCACCCCGCTCAGAATTTGCCATACTGGCTAAGGAATTGTGGGAGTTGAAGTCCACAGGGTTGAGAAACGCTGGTCTGGACTATGTATTACAATGAAGAGTCCCTTCCAAATTGGTGTTTCTATATATAAATGAGAGTGGAATGAAGGCACACCAAAGAGTTATATGCCATCCAGCCCTTACAGGGTTGACCATGGTGTGTGAGGAAGCAGTCAAAGAAGTCAAAATCTTAGCCATCACAGCTTGTTCTAAACTCTGATCCTTTTACAGGAACAGACTGAAACTGACTCAAGCAAGCTGCAATCTTGGTTTCAGTAAAAGTGAGAAAGGAATGCAATTGTCGTATCATTTATGCCTTGAATTGGAATGTGTGTGTTTCAGCTCAGAACTGAGTATATCAGGGGTCGGCTGCTATGGGTTTGCCTGGGTTCGGGAGAACCCGTAGCNTGAGTGAGAGAGGGAAGGGGGTAGGAGAGATAGTCTAATCCAACTTCTGTGTGTGTCAGAATTGAGCGTGCCTAGCTGTGGAATTTTGGGAGTGGAAGTCCACAAGTCTAAAAAAATTTGAAACCCACCACTGTGTCAGTGCCTCACCAGCCATAAACCTCACCGCATGTCACTGTGATAAACCAACATACCATACTGTAATACAATATGTGAGGACACTTTCTATGGTGGACTGATAGAAAGAGGTCATCAGCCTCTTGCTCCTGTAACAGAATATCAATTGGAAGGGATGTTGGAGGTCTTCTAGTCCAATCCTCTGCTCAAGCAGAAAACTCTACCATTTCAGGTGAAGGTTGTCCAATCTCTTTCTAAAAACCTCCAGTGTTGGAGCACCCACAGCTTCTGGAGGCAAGTTGTTCCACTGATTAATTGTTCTAAGTATCAGGAAATTTCTCCTTAGTTCTAGGTTGCTTCTCTCTCCTTGATTAGTTTCTATTCATTGCTTCTTGTCCTGCCCTTGGGTGTTTTGGAGAATAGTTTGACTTCCTCTTCTTTGTGGCAGCCTCTTAAATATTGGAAAGCTGCTATCATGTCTCCCCTAGTTCTTCTTTTCATTAAACTTGACGTACCCAATTCCTGCAAACGTACTTTGTATGTTTTAGTCTCCAATCTATATTTTTAGAGCTTCCAGTTTTGAAGATCCTACTTGGTCATTTTCCCACTACTCATTTAAAGGACAAGCAAACCACTTCCCTTGTATCAGCAAAAGGGATGGCCTTCATCAATTTCTTCATCCAAGTCATAAGCTCCAACCTGATTCAGTAGTTTTTTATGGTGGTTCAGTGGCAAGGTACTGGTGGCTGTGCTAAAGTACTGCCCAGTTCCCAGCCCCTCTAAAGTTGACTGCCTTCCCTTTTGTTACTATCACCAAGTTACACCTTGGGTATAATCACATCTCTGGCAACACCCAGATGGTGGCTATCTAATCTACAATAAAAGGTAACAGTAAAGGTTCCCCTCGCACATATGTGCTAGCCTTTCCTGACTCTAGGGGGCAGTGCTCATCTCCGTTTCAAAGCCGAAGAGCCAGCGCTGTCCGAAGACGTCTCCGTGGTCATGTGGCTGGTAAGCCACTCCCACCTGGTCACA